GGGGCTCCGTGCTCCGCCCAGATTCTCAAGCTTGTCCAGGTAGGAGTACCTCTTGGTGCCGATCTTGGAGACCTTGCTCAGCTTCTTGCCCTGGGGATCCTGTGATTCTAGTATCATGGTCTCGATGGTGCCGTCCCGAGGCCCCACGAGGTCGAACAATGTCGAGTTAACCGGCTCCATTCTTCCCAGCCTCCCCATCTCGTCCTTGGCGTCTTGGACCACCGTGTCCGTGTCATCGGATGTCAAGCTCGGCATCCGCAACGAGTCCCCTTGCTTGGGGTCTTGGGTGAGGGAGTCGGCGTGGAGAACGTCCTCGATGCGGGACATTACGGTGTAGGCTAGGCTCTCGAGCGTCCTTGAGTAGCTCTCCAGAATGGCACTCCCAACATCCTGCAAAAACAACACGTACGGAAACACAAACGTATGTAGTTGGCATTATATATAGTAATGAAAAGGTACTCCTTTTCTAAAAAAGAGTAATGAAAAGGCACTGTAGCAATTCCGAAAACAAAGTGAGAATTGTGGGTACCCTGTTGTATTGGATTTTGCTGATGTCCAGAGCTGATTGGGAAATCCCTGGAAACCTGTGCTTGAGTAGGAGAAGAACGTTCTCCGCCCTCCCCTCGAATCGGCCCCGCTTCTCGTGGCTAACGCCATGGCCCCACTTGCCATCCCTCTGCATTTTCTTCTGCCAAATGACGACCGACGCTTCAATCCGGTTCTTCAGATCGACAATGTTGTACTCGTTCGACAGGTCAACCGTTGCTATGAGTTCTTCGGGGTTGAAATAATCGTCGGTTATAAGCTTGTACATCGAGTCCCCAAGGGTGGATTTCCCATTCTACAAAGCATAAGAGTAAGAGGATATTGTCATGTGAGATCTCAGTAATGTAGTCAAGTAAGTTAAATGTGATTGTTGTATAATAACGTCCTTGTGTTCTTATGGATCACCTTAGGCAGAGACTCCATGTATGCTTCTGGAACATCCATCTCCATGATAACATTAGCATTGATGGCCATTGTTGCCTTCAAGACTTGGTTGACGAGCTCCTTCTGGTGCTGAAGCCATCTCCTCGTGGAGTCTGACAGACCCTCGGGAGGGACCTTGACCGTCGGGAGCCACCATTTGTCACTCTGCTCCGCCGCGTCACCCTTCTCGGATTCATTGTCATTTTTCTTCACATACCAAAACTCCTGCTTGTCGCCGAAACTATCGAGATAGTCCTGTTCGACAGCAGAAATGCGCAACGGTAACAAATTAGCAACTCAGCTATCTTCACATCAATCTCGTAAACAATTCAGAGAAGGGTGTGGAATTCTATATTACAAGGAGCATTCCGTCAAGCTTGCGCAATGCCGGGATGTTCATCAGCAGATCTCTGCGTTGCTGAGTTATCATAACCTGCTTGTCGAAAAAGAATAAAAATGTACTATTGTAATTAGTTGTAAACTTGTAATTCGATTTGCATAACGAGGTTGCATAGTACAGGCCCTAAGCAAGGCAAAAAAAAAAGTGTGACCGCCTAAGGCTCCAGTAGGCACAACCCACATTGTACGTCTTTACTAACCAATTTATTTTTCTTTGTAGGACCCTAACCACATTGTACAATCATGTTTTTTTTTTGAAAAGGAGGAATACCCCCGGCCTCTGCATCTCTTGATGCACACAACCATATATAAACAAGCACGTGTAATGAAAACCGGGGTAGGGGTTTGTTTCTGACCTCCATGGTGCTGCCATCCTCAACCACCTGGCGTGAAGGAACGAACTCGACGATGAAATCGGTGACAGAGAGAAGCCAGTCGATCTCTTTTGTCCACCGAGCCTTCGGCTCAGGGGCCATCGGTTGGAGACGCCGCTGCTCACCGAACACGGAAGCTGCAACAGCGTGCCACCACGAGAAAGGATACATAAGTGGTAAGATTTTCCACAAGAAACCAAGCACGAATTGAAATGATTTGAAATCCATAAATCATGCATCAAGCACGTGATAGGGCTAGGGCTCCCGATTTAGTCGTGCATGTACTCATTCGCGGGGTCGAAGATTGTCTCGTGTACAAATAAGTGTTTTCTCTAATGTCCACTAATTTATTTTGAGGATTAAAATCATTTAACCAATTACTTTCGTTTGGATTTTGTGGTGACAAGTACTCTCATTTCTGAGACCCATTTTTTCACACACCAAAAATTCCATTAATTTAGCTCGCACTACAGGCCTTTGAAACATGAGGGTAGGGGAGTGATTACCTGCTATATTGGCGGTGGCACAAAATGGAAAGAATTGAAAGGAAAGGGAGTGATTACCTGCAAGATTGGTGATGGCGTTGGAGAGAGCGAGAGCCGAGGAGACCCCTTTGCCGGTGCCGGACATGTCCTCCCCCAGCAGCAGCTTGGAGAACTTCTCCTTCACCATGTCCGTGTCTGCAATTGGAATGGATCGGCCACCGGAGCAAATCATTCGTGGAACAAGACCGGGACGATCATCCGCATTCACCGGGACGCTAGCTTAGAGATGAAGAGCGGCGACGAACCTGAAGGCGGGCCCTCGGGCCGTGGAGGGGGCTTCTGGGGCGGCGCGGCGGACGTGGACGGCCTTGGCCCGTCGGAAGGGCCGCCGGCGAGCGGCGGCGGGATGAGGTCGACCGAAAGCTTGCCCCTGGACCCGCAGCTGCTCCTGGAGAGCATCCGCCTGGCGCACGGCAGCGTCTGGGCCTTGGACGAGGGCTCCATCGTGGGGCTCCCCGGGTCGAGGGCCACGTCCTCCGACGAGACCGAGGAGAGCGGCGAGGAGGGCGTGGACGACGCCTTCCCGGACTTGCGCCGCCTGAAGGAGAACCTGGAGTCGCGGCCGTGCCCGGTCTTGAGGAACGGCGGCGCCATCACGCGCTCATCGCAGGCATGCACGGGTCAGCACCGCATCCCGCGGGCACGCGAGCACGTACCCGTACGCCGACGTGCGGCGGGCCGGCCGAGGTCAGAAGGGGAGAAAGAAACACCGGCCGGCCGTCCGTCCGACCTCGCGCCCCCGCGCGCGAGAGAGAGATGGGAGGAGGGATGCCCGGTGGCTGGCGGGCGCGCGTGGCTGGCTGGCTGGCTGGCTAGATTCGGGGCGGGGGAGACGGTTTTGCGAGGGAGGCGAGGAGAGGAAAGGGGGGTGGGGAGGGACGTGTCTGTGGATGGATGGCGCGAGCTGCAGCCGCGCCGCGGGAAATGGGTCCGTTTTGTGTGTGTCGTCCAGCCCAGGTCGGCCACGCTCCCTCCCTCCAAACATGGGCAATGGGAGTGGTTTATCGTTGGAGATGTTGTACCACGCTGCTATTTTTAATCTCACTCGCCCGTGGTTACTTTTCTCCATCTCGGTTGGTGGTTAATTACCACGTGCTACTCTTAGGAGTACAGCCTAACAGTAACAGTACTTGGGATCGCCAAAATCATGGTGAATCATAATAGCTCAGCCTAAGCAGTAGTACTTGGGATGTCCCCTGGCGGCTCCCGTCTAGGGTTTGAGATACCTCCGGTGGCGACACCATGAGGCTGTTCCGGACTCTACCACCAATCCCGATCCTCCCCGACTTGGTACTCGGGTTGATTAAGGGGATAGCCTCGCTATCTACACGGCCTTGGTCCCTGTCTTGGGCTGCTAGGGTTTTGGTGGATCGGAAAACGCATCTCGCTAGGGTTTGGCTATGGCAGGATCGGGCTCGCAATCGTCAGCGGGAAGTGTGGCCCCTGGGGGGAAACCCATCGGGGTTGAAGAGATGATCGGAAAACTCAAGTTGCAAGAGCGGGAGGAAGACGATCTGGTCTTTGAAGAGGACTTCCCGAATGAGATCGAGGAAGTGGAGTTCATGGCGCTGGCGATGGTGCATACGAACAAGCCCTTCAGCAGGGGGTCGTTCTATGATACGACGAGGCTCGCCTAGAGCCTAGCGCGGGGTGTAACTTTCAAACCATTAGGTGAGAATCTATTCTCTCTGACGGTGAACTGTTTGGGAGATTGGAAGAGGGTCACGGAGGAGGGGCCGTGGTTGTTTCGTGACCATGGAGTGCTAATTGAGAAGTATGATGGATATACCAGATATGATGAGGTCGTGCTGGATAAACTGGCAGTTTGGATTCAGATTGTTGATCTCCCTCCGCTCTACAGGAAGGATAACGTTGTTCGGTCGCTGGAAAAAAGGTAGGAACGGTGGAGAAGGTAATGCTAAATCCCAGATGGGGTGAGGGAAGGATTGTAAGGATCAGAGTTAAGCTTGACTTTAATGAACCACTGATGAGATATGTCTCTATCACAAAGGACGGGAAGAAGGTGTATTACTCAGTGTTATACGAGAAGATGCTAGTTTTCTGCTATGTGTGTGGCTATATGGGTCATACATACCTCGAGCATGGTAATGGGAAGCATGATCTGCAGACTATGGAGTGGGGAGAATTCATATTAGCACCTCGCCCAGGAGAAAGGAGGCAAACAGGTCAAAACTCGAGGGGGAGGCAGAAAGAGAGGACTACCACTGGGGGCCTGAGGAGGACTAATGGCCCGGAGGATGATGGTCTGAAAGACACTGCTACTAGTCCTATCAAATCCATTAGCGGGACGATTGGGGACAAATTCTCTGGACGTAAGAGGCTCACTTATGAGGAGGTAAACACGGATCTAGCAGCTCCTGCAGCGATGCTGCCAGCACACACACATGAGAGCCCGATAGCTATGTCGACTACGCTAGTGGTCCACTCACAAGGCATGCAGGTCACGGAGAAGGAAGATGAGGATGGTGACACTTCATCGCACGATTCGAAGAGATCGAAGAAGGACAACTTGGCTGTGATGGAGGCCAGCCACAATTTATCGGCGAGCTCCGAGATGGGGCTCGACAGGTCGCAATGAAAATCATCGTGTGGAACTGTCATGGGATGCGTAAACCTGCGGCAGTTCGGGCGCTCTTGGCGATCCAAGAGCGAATAAACCCAGATGTGTTGTTCCTGTCTGAAACACACCTGGATAAGGCTAAGGCAGGGAAACTAAGAAGGAGGTTAGGGTATGATGAGATGGAAGTTTTGGAAAGTGACGGCAGAAGTGGAGGATTGACCATGCTTTGGCAATCTAGCTTGGGAGTCTCTTCTCGGGCTGTTCATGCAAACTATATAGATATACAAATAAAGGAGGTGACACCTGCGGGATGGCGCTTCACAGGTTTCTACGGCAAGCCAAGTAGTGACCGTAAATACCTGTCGTGGGAATATTTGCGTGGTCTGCACACATTGGCTGATCTGCCATGGATAGTGGGAGGAGACTTTGATGAAATTTTGCAAGCTCATGAGAAAGAAGGGGGGCGGCACGCCCCCAATGATGTATGCAGGCTTTTAGCAATGCGCTGAGCGATTGCGGGCTTGACGATCTCGGTTATTCGGGAGACATTTTCAGCTGGCGTAGAGGCCGAATTTGGGAGCGATTTGACAGAGCTGTCTCGAGTAGCTCTTGGGCTGATCTATTCCTAGCCTATGGTGTTTCTAATGAACCGTTTAATAAATCAGATCACCGGTCGATCCTAATTGATACTTATTTCTAGCAAGGCATACAACCAAGGGGTCCGCCGGGACCGAGGAAATTTGAAGCAAGGTGGCTTGCGGAGGAAGATGTGGAGGTGATAGTTCAAGCGGCCTGGGATAGAGCAAAAGCCAGGGGGACCGAGCCTTACTCACAAGTGACAGGGGAGATACATGTTGCTTTGCGCACTTGGGATAAAGAGTCTCTAAAAGGCCAGCGAACCCGGCTAAGGAAACTTCAGAAAGAGCTGAATGAGGTGCTGTCGGGCCCGCTGTTGGACGAGGCTATGGCTCGACAACATGAACTCCACCTGCAGATCGATAACCTACTTGAACAAGAAGAGATATAGTGGATGCAGCGAGGACGAGCTGGTTGGCTCTGCCGTGGCGATCAAAACACGGATTTCTTTCACCGTGCAGCCACGGGGAGGCGCAAGAAGAACTTTATCAAGAAATTGAAAGGAGAATCGGGGGACTGGATCGAGGATGAGGACCAACTTAAGGGGCATGTGGTGCGCTATTTTGGTGGACTATTTTCCTCCGAAGTGCAAGACCCGGACCAAAGTGTCTTGGACAAGGTAAAAGCCAGGGTATCTGCTGAGATGAATGAGGACCTGATGAAGCCCTATACCCGAGAGGAAGTTAAAGGAGCATCGTATAATATTGGTGACCTCAAGGCACCGGGCCCTGATGGGTTGCATGCGGTGTTTTATAAGAGATTCTGGCACATAATTGGCGATGATTTAATTGATGAAGTATTGTTGACAGTAAATAACAGGAAGATACAAGAAGGATGGAACAACACTACAATTGTTCTTATCCCAAAGGTGGAGAACCCGGAGGTTCAAAACTGCTATCAAACATGCTAAAAAATTTGTTGCCCGAGATTATTTCCCCTAATCAAAGTGCCTTTGTCCCCGGGCGTTTGATCATGGACAACTTCTTAGTGGCTTTTGAATCTTATCATGCTATCAAGAGGAAGAGAACGGGAAAGTTCGGAATATGTCCGGTAAAACTTGACATGCATAAGGCCTATGATAGGGTCTAGTGGGTTTTTCTTGAGAGAATCATGCTTCGGCTGGGCTTCACACCAGATTGGGTTGCTATCATTATGGAGTGTGTAAGGTCAGTGAAGTACCAAGTTTGTTTTAACAACTCTCTCACAGATTTTTTTGTCCCTTCGCGAGGTCTACGCCAAGGAGACCCGCTATCACCTTACTTGTTCCTAATTTGTGTGGAGGGCCTCTCAAGTTTGCTTAATCACGAGGAGGAGATTGGTGATCTGATAGGAGTGAGAGTATGCCGGGATGCACCGGCTGTTTCTCATCTTCTCTTCGCGGATGACTCCCTCATTTTGATGCGAGCAGATGCTAGCAACGCCACGAGCCTTCGCCACGCCCTTGATGATTACTGTGTTGCCTCGGGCCAATTGGTAAGTGAGGCCAAATCGAGCATTTTCTTCAGCCCTTGTACTACGGTAGAAGTAAGGGCGGAGGTGTGCACTACTCTGAATATCATGGCAGATGCTATAACGGACAAGTATTTGGGGTTGCCCCCGATTGTTAGGGTAGAGAGAATTGATTGTTTCCAACATATTGTGGATAGAATTCTGAATAGGATCGGAGGATGGAAGGAGAAGATGCTCCCTTTTGGAGGAAAAGAAGTGTTGTTGAAGGCTGTCATACAAGCCATTCCTTCATATGCCATGCTAGTCTTTAAGCTTCCAAAACAAATTTGTAATGCGATAACAACCGCTATGTCACAGTACTGGTGGGGGGATGAGGAGAAGAAGCACATGCATTGGTTCGCGTAGTGGAAGATGTGCATGCCAAAGAGCAATGGAGGTATGGGTTTCAGAGATGTTCACTGTTTTAACTTGGACCTCCTAGCTAAACAGTGCTGGAGATTGTTAGCAGAACCAGATTCCTTGTGTGCCAGAGTATTGAGGGCAAAATATTTTCTGAATGGAGACCTACTGAATTGCCCCCTCAAGAAAGGGAGTTCTTACACTTGGCAGAGCTTGTGGAGTGGTGTTCAGACCTTCAAAAAAGGATACATATGGAGAGTGGGAGATGGCACACAAATAAACGTATGTGATGATCCTTGGGTGGCTAGCAGCCCAAACAGGAAGGTAATGACTCCACGAGGTAATATCATTCTCACTAAAGTTTCTAAGTTGATTAACATGGAGAATCGGTGCTGGGATGAAGAACTTATCAGACATATCTTTTGGCCCATTGACACAAATCGTATTCTGAATATACCCCTTGCAACGGGGATGATGGGGGATTTTGTTTCATGGCACTATAATAAAACTTTCGGTCAAGACGGCTTAC